TTTTTTTTTTAAAACTTTTTTTTTTTTTTTTTTTTTTTGAGACAGGGTTCTCACTGTGTAGTCCAGGCTGGACTTGAACTCACTATGTAACCTAGGCTGGCCTCGAACTTGTGGCAGTCTTCCTGCCTTGGCCTCCTGAGTGCTGGGATACAGGTGTGTACCTCCACACCTGGCTCTTATTAAAATTCTTGGGCAACAGATTCAGTTTTCACCTTTTGGCAAGAATATTTCCGAATTCCCCTCACAACACATCAGGCACTTTATGTAATGTAAAGACTGACTGAATTCAGATATTGCGGCTTGACCAGTTCCTTATAAAACTTCCTTCCCATCAGGGCCAGGGGTACAGCCCAGGGGGAGAGCACCTGCCTAGCATGTGTATAGTCCTGGGTTTGACCCCTAGCACTGAAAAAAAAAATCCTATCAGCTCTTTTATCATATATCAGGGATTCAGCAGCCACTGCTAATGACTACCTCAGTTTTTTATTCCATTAAGGGTTGCAAAATGGTGATATCCCATCATTCTTCATTATCAGAATGTTTAAAAAAAAACTTTCAACCACCTATTTTGTTACTTTGTGGAACATTCATTCTGAAAAAGATGGTGAATGCTTGATTCTCTTTACTACTTTTCAGAATAAGCTGGTTCCCCAATATCTGCTAAGGTGACCAATGAGATTCTTCTCTTTTGTTGTTGTTTTGTTTTTGCTTTGATTTGTTTCTTTTGTGGTACCTGGAATTAAACCCAGGACCTTCACACTAAGCTGCATCCACAGCCCTTTTTTTATTCTGACACAGGGTCTCAGTCGCTAAATTGCCTAAGCTTGGCTTGCAATCCTCCTGCCTCAACCACCCAGAGTACAGAGATTATAGGTGTGCTCTACCACATTAGGCAAAGTTTTGGTTTTTACACATTCTTGATCTTTTAATATTTGATGGCTTTTAATCCACTGTAAATTTTTTGGTGCCCAAATTGTCCCCTCTTTGGCCGGCAGAAACGTCTGCACGGTGACTGTTGAGACCTTTCAGCCTGAGCCCAGCAGGCTGGGCCCTTAGTCTCAGCCCTTCAGAATACAAGGTGTTCTTGACCCACAGTTACTTTTTTTTTTTTTTTTTTTTTTTTTTTTTTTGTACCAGGGATTGAACTTGGGACCTTATGCTTGTGAGGCAGGTGGCAGAACCACTGAGCTAAATCCCTAGCCCATTCTGGACCCATAATCACATCTCTCACCCCAGGCCTGAGCTCAGCTATTCTCTATGAACCATCCTCTGCGGGGGAGAGTGGTATGTATATAGAGGGTACACTTGGGTGCCTGGGCTGCTCCTGGCAATTAGATTGGTCATTGTTTCTAAGCTTCTTCAGGGAAAAGGGGATGGGACCCTCTCTGAGTCCATAACAAAACAAAGCAAAAAATTATTTTTTGAGACAAGTTCTTGCTATATACTTCAGGGTAACCTTGAACTCACTATGTTGCCCAGGCTGGCATTGAACTCCTGGTGATCCTTTTGCCTCAGCCTCCTGAGTACTGGGATTACAGGCATGCACCACCATGCCAGGCCAAAACAATTTTTATATAGAATATCTTAATACACGCAGCTTACTCAAAAGAAAAAAAATGCCTCGATTCATAGCATTTGCCAGTTCTGTGGATTAAGTAGTTGCCTATGGCAGATGGCAAGCTGCCAACTTGATCAGCTATGTATAGTTGGGAAGAGGTGCTGATAATCAGTCTCCCAAGTATAAATTAAAGAGCAAAATCAAGGATACATAGATAACAGGAAACGGGGAGACAGATCTTTCACAAAAGGAAAGGACATCAAGATACGGCAGGTCAGAGAGGATGGGGATGAAAAAGGAGTGAAGATGTGTTGTGTGCATGCACCAACTCCCCATGATGAGTGTCATCATTAAGTACTGCAAACCTGGACTGACAAAAATGAAAATAAAAATAAAAATAAATTAGCACTCCAGGGATGAGGGGGAGCAACTGACAAATTCAAAAGCAAGAAAGAGTGTGTGGGACATTAGCAAAGTGGAGGATATGGTTGTAGGAGTCCAGGCCAGGGCTCTTCTGTCCCCTCCGCTGCCCTCCTCTGACCCTGAGAAGCTGCCTCCCAGCTGCGCACAGACAGGTCCTTGACAAATCCTGCACCTTCTACTCAGCTTTGGCAGTGGGGGCACGGCCAGCCGGCTCTGCCAGGTCACAGAATTTAATTGGCTGCTTCTACCAGAGCCTTCAGGCAGCTCCCTCCCAAGTCTCCCTGGCAGCAAGCAATCCGTCCCCAAGGCCCTCAGGCCAGGAGAGCTAAGGCTACTCCTATAACTAGCCCCAGGGGTACTGTGTCTCCCACAAACTCAGCCTGTTCTCTTAATTAACTTCTTTTTAAATTACAGTTTGAGTGGTCACCCGTCCCCTACTGGGACCCTGGCTAATAAGTGAACCAATTAAGGCCTCAATTAGCGAGAAATTTGGTGGCCTGAATTGAGTTGTTAGGCTAGAAAGAGAGCAGGTCCCATCTTCATGAACTTGTTAGAAATGATGACACTCCCTTGGCCTGTCATCCCAGCATTCTGAGAGGCCGAGGCAGGAGGATTGCTCATTCAAGATCAGCCTAGTGACTTAGCAAGAGCCTATCTCAAAATTTAAAATAAATAAATGAAAAGGCTGGTGGGAAGGCTCTGGATTTCATTCTCAGTGGAAAAAAAACAAAAAACCAAAAAAACTTCTCAGCTCTGTGGCAGACTTGCTGAATCAGGATTCAGAAGTACAGCTCAGCAATCTGTTTTAACAAGCTCTCCAGTGCCTCTGATGAAACATAAGATATGTGCACCACTGTCTAACTCGAGAGCATTGAATTTTTTTTTTAAAGTGGATCATCAGTTGCCTGTATTCAGGTATGACTATAAGGATAAATTCTGTTCAATGGGGTAGAGGGAGGTGTACATAATGGCTTCTGGGAACTTTGTAAGAGACAGAAGTCAGGCGTATTGCACAGAACCTCAGCTACTCAGGAGGCTAAGGCAGGAAGATTTCAAGTTCAAGGCCAACCTAGGCACCTTGCTTCAAAATTTTAAAAAACAGGACCAGGGTTATAGCTTAGTGCTCCCTGGAGACAAACCCTGGGGGGGGGTGGATAAAGAGGGGTGGGGAGGAAGGGAGAGGTAGGAAGAAAGAGAGAGGGAGAGAGAGAGAGAGAGAGAGAGAGAGGAGACTTTCCTGTTAGTTTCATCTTCTATCTTGTTTGTTTGATTTTTTTTGTTTGTTTGTTTTTTAATGCTGGATATGGAGCCCAGGGCCTCACACATGCCAAGCTCAGACTCTAGGATTGAGCACCCTGCTCCGTCCCATCTCGTCTCTTAGAACACAGATGTCACCATTTGGCACCATGAAGTCTAGGCTGTGGGTGGCAGAGCAGTAAGTGCCTGAACTCTCACATACGACAGAAACTGTCACCGTACTTAAGGTCATTCTTTGGAGGGTGTTCAGTATAGCTAGGCCTAATCCTAGTTGCTATAGGTCTCTATTGAAAAATTCTCTTGAGTCCTAGATAACATAAAATCCTTACCTTGACAGAATGTAACAAAACTGCAAAGAAACCAAGGAGAAGAAACAGATTATCCACAAAGTAACAATGATTAAACTAATAGCAAAAAAGCAACTTTGTCTATGTGCCACCTGTGGCTGTGTTAATGCCACAAAGGCAGAGGAAAGTAGATACAAGGAGCCCAGACTGCAAGACCTGCAAAGCTTTAGTTGTGTTCTCTCTGGCTGGTTATAGGAAAAATATTTGTCAGGCCCCGATTTAAAAGATTCATCTGAGTGTGAATTCCAGGCATTGTCTTTCTATTCCTCCAACAGTTCAACAGGCCTGAGGAGCTCCAACAAGGAGCTTCCAGGTTTTCGTTTTTTGGCATTTGTTTTGTGATTTTGTTTTGTTTTATTCTGAGATGAGGTCTCGCTATGTTGCCCAGGATGGCCTCAAACCCCTGGGCTATGGTGATCGTCCTGACCCAGTCTCCCACAAAGCTGGGATTATAGTCATATTCCTCAAACACTCTGCTTTCAGAAT